ATTTTTTGATTTATTGTAGAGATGAGGTCTCGCTGCCCAGGCAGGTCTCGAACCCGCGGGTTCAGGCATTCCACTCACCTCAGCCTCCCAAAGGCACGGGATTACAGGCTGAGCTACCGAGCCCCGCTGAAAGAAACCATTTTCAAGTAAGCCAGAGCACTCCATTCTTGTTCACATGGCCTAAGCAGCTCTGAGGAAAATAACCAACTCCAGACCACTCTAGCCTTCCTGTCCCACCGTGTGCATGTGTCGGGGTGTTGGGGCAGAGGGGGGAGAAAGACACTGAGAAGAACTTGTGAGGTTTACAGTCCAGAAGCACAAGCTCACAAATTTTACCATATGACAAGAGGTCCTAACCTCTATTGTTCTCATTCCAGGAGTAGATTACTCTCAGACAAGAACAACGGATGGGTATACACACACATTTCAGACTAAGATATTCAACCACAATCAGACCAATCCTATGATGAACTAAATTTAATATCTGACTTGAGAAACATTCCAGACAATACTTTCAACTCTAGAGAAATAGCTCAAAAAGACTCTGCTGGATATACAAAAGGATATTTATCCCTGATGCAACAAGTAAAGAAGGGTTACTATATGGCCTGCAATTACTAAGTAGAGATTGTTTTGCTACTAAACACCAGTGGCAGAGAACACTGCCTCTGGAACATCTGGGATTCTGTGGGTTGCCTCTTAGTACTTACACGCCCATCAGTAAAAGCTAATGGAAAATTAAAGCAAACAAAAAAGCAAATCCACGGGGATTCAGATCCTTTAGGAATGAAGGTTTAAGCTATTTCAAACAAGTAGAAAAAATCTTGCCCAGCTAAGGTCCTGGCTAAGGCAAAGGAAACAATATAATTGGCAGTGAACTAAGTAAAAAAAAACAACAAAACTTTGCGACAATCAATAGCAGATTAGGGTGACTACAGTTAACAACAATGTATTGAATATTTCAAAATAGCTAAAAGAGAGGACTTGAAATGCTCCTAACATATAGAAATGAGAACTACTTAAGGTAGAAGACACCCTAAATACCCTGACATGACCATTACAGCCTATACATGTGGCAAATATCACATGTAGCTTATAAGTATATGCAATTATTATATATCAATTAAGAGTAAATCTAAGCTGGGTGTGTGGCTCACACCTGTAAATGCAGCACCTTGGGAGGCACAGGCGAGAAGACTGCCTGAGCTCATGGGTTTGAGACCAACCTGGGCAACATGGTGAGACCGGATCTTTACAATAAATCAAAATATTAGCCGGGCGTAGTGGCACACACCTGTGATTCCAGCTACTTGGAAGGCTGAAGCGAAAGGATCACCTGAGCCCAGCAGGTCAAGGTTGTGGTGGCCATGAGTGTGCCACTGCACTCTAGGTCTGGGCAACAGAGTGAGACTTCGACTCACCAAAAAAAAAAAAAAGAGTAAATTTTTTTTAAAGTGTGAGTATAGCAGCAACTCACATTTTCTTATAAATGTGTTTGTGTAAATATTATGTATCTGCAGATATTAACTATTCTCTCTTGTCCTGTGTCTTATTATTCTACATAAGTTTTGTTGGAGGCTTCCTTTACCCCGTAATTCCTTACATAAGAGAATAACCAAATAGGTTAGAACTGAATTTGAGAAGCAATACAGGTCACAACTGGATGGTGAATCAATCTTCCAGAGACAGATATAATGAATGCTAGAATGTTGTGTCTCCCAATTTGGAGGAGAGGGCAAAAATGAATTTCTTTGTAGGAAGTAAAGTAGCATCCTGTTAGAGTGGAAGAGTTGTTTCACTGTTATCCATAAGTTCAAATGGGAGGATGTGTTTGTACGCAGTGGCCTGGGCCGGCCATTAAGCTGCTGTCTGAACCTCTGTGAAGTGTGAGCTCTGCACATGCGCTGGTTCCATGTTCGCCTCTGCCAAAGGAACACCACCGGGAGACAAGGCTCGGGGAGGAAAAAGGGACGTGCACTTTCCTCTGGGCTTGTCTGCACCCAGTTCCCGTCAAGGCCATTTCTTGGTACCCTCTGTCGGCCTAGCAAAAGCAGGCCCTTCCTATCATAACAGCTGGGCCCAGCTGGCAATGTTTTCAACACCCCCTGAACCAGTGTCAACATGCCCCTCAGACACCAATACCAGCTAAACAGCATCCCAACATAGAAGTCAAATGAAAGCTTCAGGGGTAGCAGTCATTTCCTAGAGCTGTTCCATGACACCTTATTAGTCTCCTTTTGGTGACTAAGTTAACAATATTTTACCTACTTAACAATCTTTAAGTTAAATTTTCTCTGTTCAAATAACCGGTCATTGTTTTTTTCTCCTGACTGGACCCTGCCTGTAAATGAAAAAAATAAAACAAAAATCTTATTTGTAGGATAAATTAAGAATATAAAGATGAAGCCCAGGTGCAGTGGCTCACGCCTGTAATCCCAGCACTTTGGGAGGCTGAGACAAGAAGACTCAGGGGCAACTTGGCAAGACTTCATTTCTACAATAAATCAAAAAGCTAGCCAGGCCTGGGGGCATGCACCTATCATTCCAGCTACGTGGAAGGCTGAGGCAGAAAAATCTCTTTAACCCAGCAGGTCGAAGCTGTGGTGGTTGTGGGAGTGCCATTGTACTCCAGCCTGGGGGACAGAATGAGAGTCTGACTCAAACAAAAAAAAGTGTGTGCATGTGTATGTTTGTATACACCAATAAAATAAACACAGATGTAAACATATGGATGTATATATGGGAATGATTTATTTTCCTTATTTTGCTGATTGTACTGTGGTTACACAGAATGACGTCCACATTTGTAAGAATTACACACAGTAGTAAGAGTTAGGACACCATATTGGCAACTTACTGTTCAATGTACAGGAAAAAGTTCCTTGCACTGTACATGGAGGCTGTGCATTTGCAATTGTTTCATAATTGAAACTACTTTAAATGAAAAAGTTTAAAGAATTACAGTGTTATTCATGTCTTTCATATCTTGCTTTTCTGTTGTAGAATATCTCACAGTTATGTCCATAAGAATATATATAAATCTAGCTGGGCATGGTGGCTCACGCCTGTAATCCCAGTGCTTTGGGAGGAGGAGGCGAGAAGAATGCCTGAGCCCAGGGGTACAAGACCAGCCTGAGCAACTTGGTGACACCTCGTCTCTACAATAAATAAAAACATTAGACTGGACTTGGTGGCTCAGTCTGTAATCCCAGCATTTTGGGAGGCCGAGTCGAGTGGATGATCTGAGCCCATGGGTTCGAGACCAGTCCAGGAAACTTGGTGAGAACTCCTCTCTACAATAAATTTTAAAAATTAGCTGGGCATGGTAGCACGTGCCTGTAGTTCCAGTTGCTTGGAAGGCTGAGGGAGAAGGATTGCTAGAGCCCAGCAGGCTGATGCTACGGTAGCCATGAGCGTGTCACTGCACTCCAGCCTGCGCGACAGAGTGAGACTCCAACTCAAAAGAAATAAAAAAAATTAGCCAGGCATGGTGTCGTGTACCTGTAGCTACTTGGAAGGCTGAGGCGGAAGGATCGCCTGAGCCAGCAGGTCAAGGTTGCAATG